TGAGTGAGGGAGTGAAGAGGGTGGGGAAAGAGTCCATCAAATGAAATGAATATGTATCAGATGGAGTTTGAAGTAGTGACTTGCATTCAGCCCTGCATACTCACCGAGCGGCTGTCACTCCGTCACCATCAGGATATAATAAGGTGTCTCAATGATACTCAGAACCCAGGAGACTTTCACATCTAAGACACCTGTCCGTGTGCGCTTGTACCCTACACTCCCTCATCCAGCCGACTTCAGCTCTTTCTTTCTTTGTGCCTCTTGCTCTCTCCCTCCTCCCAGCTCCTACTCCTGTGCCTTACTTTCAAAACTTACATTTTACCCCCTCACTGTATGTGTTCAGCTGAAAGTTAATAAAAATCTCTTCTTTTCTTTATTTTCTCCCAATATCCTCTCCTGCGCTGGCTTCTTTCCTTTTTCACTCTTTCTCTAGCTGTGGTTCTGATTGTGCCTCTGTACCTCTCCGACACAACAATGCATTCATCGTGAAGGGCATGGGAGTGACTCTCGTGAATACTGTTGTGTGGGATTGCATTTGTGTGTGCACATAAGCTCCCGCCATAGGTTAAAACCCTGGCCAGCAAATACCCTTGGCCCTTTGGCCTTTGACCTCAGCCTCCCAGCAGACAACAACAGATGAGCAGAGGTTTCTGTGGGACTTATACCTTGCTTATTAGAGCTTTCCCAGGCTTTGTACTACAGTCTGCTGAAGCACATTAATGAATGTATTTTCAACCAAAAATGTAAAGATCTACAGTTTTTCCCCAGGCCTCAGTGTCTCAGTATGCTGGATTTCATCCATTTTTTAAATGTCGTCTTGTAAACTTTTAGTGACTGTAATCAAACCCTCCCCAAACTGCAGACCTGATGGGGAATCATTTAGTTTAGTGTGCACATTAATGCTTCAGCTATAACTCACCTCAGTGTCTGTGCATAAAATGAAAAAGATTGTTACAGCAGGAAACCTGGGGAGCAGGAAAATATTAAAAAGTTTTGTTTCCACCTTTATGAAACATCTCTTCTCAGGAGCGTTCAATTCTGTTGAGCAAATGCCATCTAATGTTACCACTTTGCATTTAACTCTGCTGGCATGACCCAAATCTTCCAAACCTACCACTTATGTAACTTCGCTCTTCTCTATGTGACCTGCTTCTCTGGCATGTCTACACCGACACAAACACACATTCACAAAAGCAGGAAGCTTCCCGCCTATGGCCAGAATATCTTCTGGGGCCTTTACCTTGCACTTTACCATATCTAGTCACACACCTACACATGCAGACAGGCTTTTTATCCTGTTAAGCATCTTTCTTTGATCATTTATCTCTTTCTACGGCTGATCCACACACATGCACAGCCTTATATCCCTCTCCTCTCTCCACCCGAAAGCATGTTTCCAAAACCTGACTTTTTGTCACACATCACATTATATCACATTGCATTTTGTCAAAAAGTCATCCATGCCTGTCAAGCCCGCCTTATATAACTACCCTCGTCAAGTCCAGGATGCTGCAGCCTACATTAGGCAGCGGCAACATCCATTAACTACATGTACACATAAACAGTAATTACAACATTATATACTGTGCACATGCAAACATCCACAAGTCTCTGTCATTATCTAATAATAGTGTGAAAGCCTTAAACTGCATTTAAAACATGGATGTAGCCACATGACGTCAAACAGCCAACAAAATAATCAGAATAGAGTATTATGCAATGGTCTCAGGAGATCTGTCATTTCTTTATGCTTTCATAACAGGCAACTTTTAAATTGTATCATTAGACACTTTGTTGCTAGAAGCCTGTTGCGAAAATACATGATCTGTTCCAATTTCTTTAGCTGAATATATGAAATAGATAACACAGTTTTACAGACATAAAATAGTATTTTTGCGCCAGCAAATGATTTCCGAAGAGGTGCTGTCTAAAAAGTTGGCATATCTGAGCATGGTGTGCAGTGCGTCGTTAAAAAAATTGAGGAAAGTGAAGAAAAGAAGAAGAAGTAGTAGGTCTCAAAAAAAAAGCCTGTCCGAGCAGATCGACACTATCTGAAAGTCATGCCCTTACAAAATTGGGAAAAAAATACAGCAAAGACCTGAGAAATCCATCTGGAACTTCAGCTGATCCATCTACTGTTCATAGAAACCAAATTAAAGAAATGGTCTCAGTGGAAGGATGGCTGTCAAGAAGCCGTTCTAAAGGAAGGGAATCAGGGAGAACAGGCTGAGGTATGCCAAATTATACAAGAAATGGACTTAAAATGGAAAATTTTTGGCTTAAATCTTTGTCAGTGTGCACGCCTCCCAGTGTCTACTTCATTTATCTCGCTGACTATTCTATTTTCTTGAAAAACGTTTGCCTGTGAGATCCGAGTTGAAGAAAAAATATGGTCAAATATCAAATACTGATTTTCATGCTCGTTAGAGTTGTACAAACTCAGTTGCCTTATATATTGTATATCTATGTATGCTTGCACATGTTTTGCTACATTAGTTTCCCATTTTCCTAGTAAAATATAAAGAAATGAGGGGTGGCTTTTCACTGTACAGCGCCTGTAAATCTGGACCGGCAGAATTGCCAGGAAGCACTATATGAACAATAAAATAAAGACACTGAGGCACACTTTTGAGTTAGCATATTTACTGTAGACAAAAAAAATATTCCAGTCAAGTTCCATCACCTTTGTACTTTAAGAAGCGCAACCTCATAAATTTTTCCATGGGAATTGTTAGTCTTTGCAGTAAAGGAATCAAAAGAAAGAAAGTCTGTCATTTTTAAACACTCCCCAAACGCTGGTTTGGACTGAATCTTCCAGTGATGACAGGTGATCCTGGAAGCAGCAACAAAAACCTGCTAGTAAAAATCTTTTTAGAGGCTTTTTTTTTTTTTTAATGTGGAGTCAGTAAGCGTTGTTAAGAAAAGTCTGTAATTGGTTTGTGTAGCAAATTACTGATATTTTTAATTAGTTATTTCCAGAAAGCAAGAAAAACAAAACACATTTTCTTTAATAATATGTGTGTACATTTCATTTTAACATTTCTTTCAAAATTTCCTATCATCTTATTCTAAATATCTAGTTCCAGAGATCAATCGATATATGATTTTTAATACTGATAATGACATTTGCTGATTTAAAGAAATTGGCCTATTGTCCGATATATCGGCCAATCATTTTGTTTTCTAAACACACAATTGAAGCATGTATGGATTTCCCTAACATGTTATGTGTTTTTTATTTATCTTCTCTGATACATTCTACTTGACTTTTCTGTTACCAAAAAGGAAATTGCCCTCTGCTGGACTATGCAACACTCATATAATTGGAGTGGAGGGTGTTTCTCCCATCCCTTCTTTGCTCTTTGAATTTTCGTTTATTGTACAGATACCAGCAGATTAATAGATCGATCCTTAAATGGCTAATATTGGACAATAATGTCGGCCAGCTGAACAAACTTTCCGTGCTCTGTCTCGTTCTATCGGATTTTTTTCTCCGAATTTCCTCACAGCTTTAGAAACACCTCACAAAGCTTTCTCCATCACAACATGAAACGCATTACATGCTGATTGTGAGCACCTGTGTGAAGGCAGATGCTTTGCATGCATTCAGGTATAGACACAATGCCAGTCTGGCGTGTATGGAAGGTTTAACAAAAACCAATAGAGATCAGTATTGTTTGTCTTGCACTGTGATCTGCTTGCATTGATTAAAATTAGTCTGGAGCAGATTACTGTGGATGGAAAGAGGATTTTTAACTTTTAAGTAATGAGTTATAAAGCCCGGGCGCCTGCTGACTTCTTCATAATTCAGGGAGAAAGGCTAGTCTCTCTCTATATGCATATATTGTGTGGACAAGTAACTAAATCGTGGAGCCATATTGCATCTTGTGCATTCAACTTAATCAAAACTGTAGCCCGTACTCTCTAAGCGACTTCAGGGCTCCGTAGTAATTAGATAATTATTAAGTAACTCTCGTGTAGTTTGGATGGCAGAATTGTGCATTATAATATACTCACAGTAAATGGTAAGTTATGGAAAACATGCATCCACAGACATACTTATTTAGTTGGTCTGGACTGCTGCTTATGGAGAGAGCAAACACTGATTTACTGTGTTTACAGACATTTTTTTTTCTTCCGTTGAAATGGAGGTTGTCGATGTTGTGTATATAATTTTGTTCATGCCAAAGGTATGGGACTCAACCAGTAGTCTTATTCAGCGCCTGCATTTCACACAAACACGCAGGCACACACTCGCACGCTCTGTGATCCTTCAGCTACTGGGCGGGAATGGCATGGCCTCAGCCTGGTCAAAAAAAAGCTAATTAATCAGGCAGGGCAAGGAATGTGTGGGAGGAAGATACAGCAGTGACTCTCATTATCTTACTTCACAGCGCTGCTAATCAGTTCATCTATTGCTAATGATTATTCAGTGAAAGATTACTTTTTATTTCTTTAGCATTTATGAAAGCAGGCTTTCACATGTACTATGTATTCACAAATGACACACAAACAAGCAGGCACAGAATGAAGGACGGTTTTCCTCTGTGTGTTGTTACACCGAGGAAGAGACGCACAAACACACACAGCATCTTTATGTCCTTGTAGCGAGCTATGTGGAGAAATCATATTTAGGTTTTTTTTGTTATTCTTTCTTTTATCCAGGATCCCGTCAGGGAAAAGAAACAGAATTTGTTTTATGTATCATTCGCCCCTTTTGCATACGTGTGTGTGTGTGTGTGTGTGTGTGTGTGTGTGTGTGTGTGTGTGTGTGTGTGTGTGGGTGTGTGTGTGTGTGTGTGTGTGTGTGTGTGTGTGTGTGTGTGTGTGTGTGTGTGTGTGTGTGTGTGTGTGTGTGTGTGTGTGCG